GCCATCTCCTACGACTTCATAAACGTCCAATAGGATGCTCTTGATGCTTTGTCACGAACTTGCCACCACTGTCTCTCTAGCTGTCTGAGCCTTCGCTTCATCAGCCTTAGCTCCTGGGTATACCAAGGAGCCAGCCTTGTGCGAGGGCGCAGAAGGCATCTGGGAGCGATCTTGTCAATGGCCACCGAGAGTCGGCTATGCCAGTCCTCGACTAGCTCATCTAACGAGCAGTCAGGGAGCAAAGGATCCCGGAGAGCCATCTGAAGCCACAAAGGGTCTATTAGGCTCCACGGGCGAGCCAAAAGCCACTCACCACCCAAACAGGGTTGGGGTGACAAGTTCACTCGGGCCTTCAGGGCATGGTCGTCCGCACATGGAACTGCCGGGAACTGCCGTAGCAGTAATCAGGTCCACTGTAACCCCCGCCGCGAAGATCAAATCAAGCGTGTGACCGGCCTGATGCGTGGGGGCCGTTATATATTGGGAGAGTCCCAACGCTGCCATGAACGATGCCAGGTCCACCGCCCGGGAGGAGGCCGCATCATCAGCATGGATGTTGAAATCACCCAGGACTAACAGCCTAAGGCGCTCCAACACCCAGCCAGACACAGCCTCCACCAGAGATGCCAGGCTGTCCGCCCGTGCATTGGGCGGACGGTACACTAGCCAGACAGCCAAACTCTCCCCGGCTTCCCACACAAAGCCGGCACACTCAGTGCCTGCAATCCTCACCATTGGGAGCACCCTGAAGGAGTAAGCCTCCCGAATGAACAAAGCCACTCCTTCCCCTCACCCCAAAGTCCGAGATTGGTGAAGGACCGAGAACCCAGAAGGAGCCAACTGGGAAAGAGCAACAGTCTCCCCGTCTTGTACCCAGGTCTTGGTCACGCATGCCAGATCCACGTCCTGCTCCAGCAGGAAGTCCTGCAGGACCGAGGTCTTATTGTTTATGGACCTGGTGTTGCTCAGCACCAATGTCGGAGAGCAGTTTTTTATCCTTGCCCCACTGTCTGCCACCGTTGGGATGGGACGCAGGCTGGAAGACAATGAAGACAAATACAAGATGTTTTACAGTTTATGCTTATAGGAGTTCCTACTATTTATGATGAGGAGTAAAGGGGAAAAAGTTCATCCTAAAAGCCTCAGTGTTAAATGGAAATTTTGTGATGGGGTAGCTACAGGGAAATCTGGAGATGCCAAAGACTGAAGCTCGGACCTTCAACATGCGAAACGTGCTCTTCCACTGACTTCTAGCATCTTCACAAACCCAGATTTGTTAATCCTGTTTATCTTTCATTTCTAGCACTTCCCCTAATTTTAACCTGTCTTATCTTTGCCACAGCTTTGCTATCCTTTCCTAGTGCTTGACACTTGATAGTCTTTATCCACAGTCCAAATGCATAAATACTAGCTAGTTTGAATGTGCTGGCATGCCACAATTTCTGTTCATATACGTTTCTACACACCAGAGAACATCCTTGCCTTATTCATTCTCCTCACACAGGAGATACTCTAACAAGTGACCATTCTAATAAGTGATCCACGTAGGTACTAAGGAGAGAAAGTTATATGAATACTATACCACACAAACTCATACACAATTCTATTGTCTCTGAGATTGCTTTATTCAAATCACTTTTTATGATGTAGCTATATTATATAGCATAACTGTTCTGGAATAAATAGTTTCATATCCATTTCACCTATGATGACATAAGTGGATATAACCATGAATTTACACGGGTTTGTATATGGGACATAAACGGATGGAAAGTAGGAATGGAAAGCTATAACAAATGTGCAAAGAAATCTATGAAGTGTAAACACTAGTCATAATATGGCAGAAAGAGATTTAAAAACAGTGGGGTCCTACTGAACACGGATGCTGCTCTCAGATTAGTCGACATTACAGATGTATGAAACTATTAGTGTTTATTTTTGCTGGTTTCTTCCTGATAAGATTATTTACAGAAAGTTTTATAGAAATCTTTATTTTTAAAATACCAATATGAATATCATGGTGTAAACTGTGGCACCTGATATGACCCGGGGGGAGGCAGGGAGTTTGAACTTCTTGTTTCTATGGAGGAAATGAATAAAGTATATTCATTGTTACCATAACAGAACAAGGCCCAGAGAAATAAAGGCTGGCTATAAACTAGACAAAGTTATTAGACATTAATGTGCAGACAACACCTACCTCACTCCAGACCAGCATGGTGCCGAATATGACCTGTAACCCATCAAAGAAATTGTCTCCTATGATGATGACAGTGGCACCTCCCGTAGTCCATCCTTCACTTGGACTGATGGCTTTGATACATGGTGTAGCTGCTTTCCAACACACATGAAAAAGAAGTATTCAGCCGTTAGAACCAGATTTTAATGACAGAAGACTTGTGAGGGGAGGGAGTGGAAACAAAAACCTTTGATTTTCTTTCCCCCTCTACTAAGATTTGAGAGATCTTGCTCTCTCTGCCTTTTGTGTGAGAGATCCCAAATCAGATCTTTCAGGGGGAATGCTTCCCCATTAAATTTTTATTTTGTTTCCATTCTCTCTCTTGAGAGGATAATCATATTTGGCAGCCTCTAGAAAGAAAATAGCAGTATTGTTGGCTGAAGACTGACTGGAGAACAGAGTACATTTCTGTCATTATTTTTTGTAACACTGAATTCGTGTCTTTGCAAAACATGATCTCGGACTTTTTCAGATGTCTAGCATAATGGAACTCAATCTCTCTTAGTTGGACTGCCTGTGTCTAGACTGGTTTTGTTTTTTTTAAATTTCAGACAGCCACTTAATTTAATTCTCCTTTTTATCATTTTGGTCTTATTTTTGGTGTTTGGTGGTCATGAAAATATACAACATACATGGCATTGACCCAATTACATGTATTAGTGTTTGGTGTGAAATCCAAGATTGTGGAATAATTGGATATTGATTTTTTAAAATATTTTAATAAAATATTTTAATTATATATTATATCATTACATCATGAAATGAAGTAACTGGCTTCTTCAAATCGTTTCTTACACGTGCCTGTGTGTCTTCCTTTGATTATAGAAAAATACCTTCACTGAGCTCAAATCTGATAGGTTTATGCAATTTCTGACTCTTTCAAGAAAACATGTAGACAGCACGTACAGGTATAGATATCCTGGCCACAATTTGTTAAATTGAATGGCTGTGACAGTACACTGATATAACTCTCAATGTGGTCAAATCTGTGGAACCTTAAATCTGGAGACTGGAGCTGTGAATAGACAAGATAAATCTTTCTATAAACCACGTTTACAAAAAAAAATCTGAAATTAAAAAAAACACTGAGGGGTTTAAAAAAACCCAAATAATAGAAGCAGGGCCTGTAGCTTTAAGAAAATAATGCCCTCAGTGGACATTGCTGGGCAACCACACAGCCTTCAAACCTTGGTTTTTGTCAGTAAACTGCAGGGGAAAGGGGAAGGGCCATTTCCAGGGCCCTTTGATCTTTGAAGGATGATCTCGTAAGGCCAGGTCTGGCAGCAACTAACAGGTGTCTTGCTACCCACGACATCTATGGCTAGTGCAGGCCCAGCTGTTTGCTTCAGTTAAACAGCAGTGACTGCATGAAAGTCAGCAGGTGTAGTGGTTAGATTTTCAGACTAGGATCTGGGAGACCCAGGTTCAAATCCCTGATTTGCCATCTAAGCTCACCAGATGACTATGGGTCACACACACACTCTCAGCCTAAACTACCTAAATGGGTTTTTGTGGAGATAAAATGAAGGAGAATTCTGTAAGCTGCTTTGGGTTCTCATTGTGGAGACTGACAGAGTATAAATACAGTAAATAAATAATAAACATAAGTGAAGCTGGTGGGAAGATAAATGGTCGGCTGGTTGGCAAGTGGGATGGAAAGAAGGAAGCAGGGAAAGGGGAGAAAATATGGAGGTTGCTATGAGGAAATACTGTTGGGAAGGAGAAAGAGTGGTGCCCTCACAATTCTTGCAGTTCCCCACCGCAGAACTGAGGCCGGGCCAGTGGCCAGCACCATACAACTGGTACTGGCCTGACAGCCAACACTGCACAACCCAATCAGAGTTTTCCCAGACAGATACTGCCAGGAAGAGGAGGAACTGAAGACACGGGGGCAAATCAAGGTAGGCTGGCTGATAGAAGGGAAGGAGAGGGGGAAGCAGGAAAAATGGAGAAGGTAGGTGCTTTTAGGAAAGTGAAAGAGAAAATAGTGAGGAACAGGAAAATTACATGTCCCCTGCAAGTCCTTGCAGTTCCCCTGCTTTTAAAGAAAGGCTGGCCTAGATAATGTTTAATCAGATCAAGGTCTTTCTTTATAACTTATAAATAAGTTCATTTTGAAGTTCTGTTTAATTTTAAAAGTTGCTTATAGAAATGTGTAAAATAATGAGTTATGTTGATGTTTCTTATATATTTAAATGAAACAGGTCAAATAACCTAGGTTTTAAAAAGCTCTTGAGTAAATACTTCAGTAGAAAAAAATAGTTACAAACAAATAACAAAATTCTCCCTTTTAGAATTTTAATATTTCAAAAGTAATTCCGAAAGGAAAAAAGCAAATTAGAAAAAGAAATCAAGGAAATTCCTTAATATGTTGAATAAAAATATTGAAGTTATTACATTGCAACAAAATTCAACCAAATGGTAATGAAAACTACTTAAAACCCTACAAAACCAATCTGAAATTAAACTTCATTTTTTCAGATTAAAAAACTGAAACAAAGTTGTGTTTAACTGCCAGATACCACTTAATTTTTTCATGAAAATGATGCAAATTTTGCTAAATTATGTTTTGCCAAAAATATCCAAAAAATAACTAATACTTTGAATTTAAATAGCACATAAAAGAAAACCTCTAGTGCTAAAAATGAGGAACATGAAAGAATGTTGTGCACTCAGCTGCAGATTCATGGCGCCCTCTTCCCACTTCACACCATCAGCACCATCATCTCTAACAATTAGGGTTGCCAACTGTGGGTTGGGAAATTCCTGAGGATTTGGGGGTGGAGTCTGGGCAGAGTCTGATGGAGGCGAGGGACCTTGGAAGGATATAATGCCATAGAGTCCACCCTCCAAAGCAGCCAGTTTCTCCAGGGGAACTATAGTCTGGAGAGCAACTGTAATTCTGGGAGATCTCCAGGCTTCATCTAGAGATTGGCAAATCTACTGAAAATGTTGATCAGCTGGGGGGCACACCAAGTCAGAGTCCCATACACATTAACCACAAAACCACCATATAATTGTAATTATCAAGTAGACAAGACTCATGACAATTCTAGGATGTTTATTCCACACATTGGGTGTGATCACATGAGCAATTTGGGCTGATTTAGCCACCCCTCTCCTTTGGATTAAATGGGCTCAGTCACACAGCCACATCTGTCAGGCGTTCCCTAGGCATATTCAACCTGTCATAGGACAACTTGGAGCTGAGTTAAAAAGGCACCACATCACAAGTGGTGTTTTTGGTTCCCCACACATTCATCGTGCATGGCCAATGTCTGAACATGGGGGAACACAAGCAGAACGGGCTAGCAGTCTGAACCTGCATATCAAAATCAAATCAAATTTATTAAGAACAGTCATAAGACCAGCAAAATAAACCAAAATAGTACAACACCAAATCTATGACATAGAATCCTTGCAGCCTTAAATATTAAAATACGAGACCGGTCAACTCCGTCATTAATGGCTTAAGTTACAGTACATTCTACGCTTTTTAATTACCAAATAACAATATTTAGCAACATTGCGTGAGACAGAATCATAAGTATCGACCAATAAAAACTTCATCAAACATTCCTCGGCATATGTAAGATAATTAGCCAAGGGTTTAAAACGTGAGAGAAGGGGTATCAACAACTGCTGTCTCTCTTCGTCGTACTTAGGACAATGGAGTAATATATGGGAGGCCGACTCCACCTGTTCTAACAAACAGGAGCAAATTCTCTGGTGCATGGGAGTCCGGGTATATCTACCATAAAGTACTGCTGAGGGTAACGCATCAAGCCGTGCTCTAGTAAATGCCCATCTTGTATGAACATGGGGGAACACAAGCAGAATGGACTAGCAGTCTGAACCTGCATATCTGTTTCAACCACTGCGGGGGGGGGGGGGAGTTTTTGCCTATATGTGGCTGCCCGAGTCATTTTTTAAAATGCAAGTGGGTGCATGTGCATATGCACTCATGCATGCACCCACTTGCATTTTAAAAAATGACTGGGCAGCATGCTCCATGGCTGAGGAGCTGCTATAATGTGGATGTTTGACCATGGGATGGCCACGTGGGTAACCTGCAGCAGGGTGTGCTGTCTGGATGATATGCCCCACAACATTTTAAACCGGTACAATTAGAGGCGGCCCCATATTGTGCTACGCTGTCAGTGTGATCACACCCATTGATTATACCAAATGAATCAAAGCAAATATACATAGCATTTTTTAAATTGCAAATGCAAACACTATTTTTAAAAGTGATTTGATGAACAGGCAAAAATATTTTTCCACAAAACTCAGATAAAATCGTAAAGGAGAGTTTAAGTGTATGTGTGTATATTTAAGAAACACTACTGAAAATTACTTTGGGGAAAATGCTTTATTCCCATTTCTGGTCAGAAAAGTTCAGCCCAGATTCTCCAGTTTCTAAATGCTTCATACGATTATCTTCCATACAAATAACAAATCAACAAACTATGTAAGTCACCAAACCAAACGTGAGTGGACCGCTCCACTCCAAACAGAGTAAGCCAACAGATTGGCTGCAGTGCAAGTTGCAAATAATTGTGATGACACTAGAAACCTTTCTGAGTGATGGCTGGCATGAATAAAAAGCAAAGCAATTCTTTGTGTTCTGCCAAACCATATCAAGAACACTAGCCAGTATTAAATATCAACCATACTAGTCACAATGTTGCATTGGGTTAGGTGTCTTTAGCCACTGAATTATAGTCTAAATAGGTCTACTCCCTCTAAGTTGTGGAGTCTTGTGAGCAAAAATTCTACTTTGTGAGCTACTGGCATTGAAGTTGCGAGCGAGTGATTTGGCTACTGCATAAATTAGTTTGCTCTGGAGCCATCCTTCCGGAGCTAAGACAAAAATCAGTGAGCTGGAGGGTAAAAAACTGTGAGCTAGTGCACACTAACTCACCTTAGAGGGAACACTGTAAAGACCACTGTCGAAGTTTCTGCATTGCCCACTATAGCAATATAGATGCAACTGGGCCTTCTTTTACGTGTTGGATTGCATTCAACCTGTTCAAAATTGTGCACACATTCACCATTTGTATTTTTCAGTTCTGCATTTGGCAAGGCAAAA